ACAGGGACATATGGTCTACATAAATATGAGCATTTCCTGGAAGCTCTACCTTCATCAAAGCTGAGAGGGAGAGAGAGAGAGAGAGAGAGAGAGAGAGAGAGAGAGAGAGAGAGAGAAAGGAAAGAACTTACCTAAAATAGAATACCTACAATTTGCAAAATTATATATAGCTATTAGTGAAAGAAAAGCCGAGCCTGGCCTCTGGGGCTCTGATGCATGCCCTGAATCTTTTATTAGGTCTAGAAACCTCAGTGGAGGTGGGAGCAACTTAAAGACCTAAAAGGAAGAGCCACCACAGACAGCAACACCTTGGAAAGAGGGTCTCAGCCTCTGCTGGTGGGGAGGGACAGAGGGAGGGAGGGAGGAAGGGAGGGAGGGAGGAAGGGAGAGAGGGAGGGAGAAGGAGGGAGAGAAGGAGGGAGGGAGGGAGGCTCTTCCTATCAAGGAGGTACAAGCAAAATTCTCTATACAAAGCCCACCTGCATCCCTAGGCCTCCCTGTCCCGAGAGCCAGCGAGTGCACCCAGGAGGTCTCCGCGCCCAGCCTTCAGAAGCAGGCACTAAGCAGACAGGCTGCCACACAGCAGGTGAAATGAAAGCAACCACCTTAAGAGATAAAGATCTGTGGACCGGTAGCATGTAAGAGGGCAAGTTTCTGAGTTCACATGGGACATTTCTGCACTGGGAGATGTAAACAGTGATCTGAGGTTAGGGGGTGGAGCCTAAGGGTGGCAAGAAGTCTTGTCCCAGGAGAAGAAGCTAGCTGGACAAAACAGAGGAAAGGTCACTGCTGGAACAGTGTCCCACCGCTTTCCCCAACAGCCTAGGATGCAAAGATATAAAGGGGCGGAGAGAAGCAGATGTAGAGTTCAAGGTCACTGCTGATCCCTTTCCTTCTATGAGAAAGGTCTTCCTAGTTCTATTTTATAGTCAAGGCAGTCTGGGCATACAGCTTCGGGGTTCTGTCAGGGCTAGATTTTTTAATAAGTACAAGAGCAGGGACTGAAACTCAGACAACCATTTCGGCTCACTTCTCCTAAGCTCAGACCTTCCTTTATAAGGTCCATCTGAATCACACGGGTCTCTAGCGATATGCTAGCCAAGCAAGTAACCCAATATAACACAGGTCTGGAGGTACTGGGGATTCCCTGTGGCAATGTGGGTAAATTTTCTCTCTTTTATCTGCTTGGGGGAAGCCATGAAGGGTTCTGCAAGATTGAGGGGTGCCCCAGGAGAGCGCAATGAAGGCTGGGGATTCATCAAAATGAGGCTCACTGATGGTGGGTATTCAGGGTAAACATTGAAGAGGAGCTCCGGACTGCAGAAACACACTCCTTCCCCTAGTCTAGGTGGAATCAACCTTACACAGGAAGGAACAGACAAGGCCGCCATCGAGAGTGACCTCATCCTTCATCGTTCATGAACCCACCAAGCTGTCTGGGCTGTCCATGCCTAACAGTACTCTTCTCCCCCAAAGACTTCAAGTTCAGCCGTCACATACAGAGTGCCTGCTCTGCGCTTGAGTCACGGCATCTTCTTCCTGAACACTAACCACCTTCCAGGGACACTAGGGTTACGGCAGCTGAAGGAGACTGCAGCTTGTAAACAGGAAGAGACAGTCAAGACAGGGATCTGAATCTAGAACTTAAACCAAAGCCAAAGGCAATCAGATGAAGCCAAGCTGTCGCCGACCCAATATAGCAGGGGCGGGTACACTGGCCTTGAGTCTGCACATGACCTTGGGTGTCATCGAAATGACATCATGTTGGTAAACCACTGACCGTTCCACTAAAGAATCCTTCAGAGATGGCTGTGGGTTCAGTCAAAGGTAATCTCCCATCTAAAACCTACACAGACGTCAGCACTTGTTCTACACAAGTGAGACTCAGTCAGGTCTGTCACAGGATGCTTTACTTTCTGTTGCTCTTGGGATCTGAAAACAGAAGGTGTAGTGCCCATGCCTACGTACTTGTGCGGCTGAAGCAGGAGGATACTGAATCCCAAAGTAGCATGGGTATATTGCAAAACTATCTCAAAGGGAGAACAGATGAAAGAGAGGAGAGATTGTTGTTTGAATAAGCAAATGAGGAGCTGCCAAAGAAGTCCTTCTTGGTTGCTTCAGGGCTGTTTCCAGAGGACTACAGAAGAAAGGACTAGAAATCAAACAAAGACTGCCTCTGGGCCATGCTCTAGTGTTCTGTACCATAAGGATAGCTACACTTCTTTGACTCACTTCCTTTATTTACTGGAGGTGTGTGCTGTAGGAGACCGTTTGTCCGTTTCCCAGCCACCCAGATTTGAAAATAACCACACAGAAAATGAATTATTTGCAATACTGTTTGGCCAATAGCTTAAGCATATTTCTGGCTCTTACATTTTAAATTAATCTATTTTTATTAATCTGTGTATCGCCACATGGCTGTGGCTTACCAGCAAGGTTCTGTCCAGCGTCTGTCTCTGGTCTCTGCTTCTCTTGAAAGGCATGGCTTCTCTTGACTCCACCTTTTTTCTCCCAACATTCAGTTTAGTTTTCTCCACCTAGATCGACTCTACCCTATCACAGGCCAAGGCAGATTCTTTATTCATTAACCAATAAAAGAAACACACAGACAGAAGGACTTCCCACACCAGGTGTGATTTGGGGATGTGCTATTCTTGACATTCCCTGATGCCTGACTAAGTCTCTAAAGGAAGCAGAGCCCATGGGAGATGGCTAGAGCATTTGAGGGCTCATGTGCTCTGTCAGATGAATGGAGTTCTTGACAGCCAAGTGGGCTTTCTAGACACACTCATGCACTTTCTGCTCTTTCTTGGTTTTAACTCTGAGATCTCAGCAGTTCCACTTTCATAGACACTGGCTACAAAGTGCACATGGACTGGAATATAGCTCAGTGGTAGAGTCCTCATCATAATATCCAAAGACGGTTTGCTCTGCAGCTACATACACACACACACACACACACACACACACACACACGCGCACACACACACGCACGCACACACGCACACAAACTCTCCTCCTCCGTCTTTACTAAGAATTAAGTAAGCTGACCATGCCTTACTTTTGTAGGTAAACAAACGGTAAAGAGAATATCTTGGGTTAACCCATACTTATATTCCAAATGAGAACATTCAAGAGGCAGAAATATGTATATTAAAACTGAAGAAGAATGAAGAGCCACCATGGCGAAGCCATGACGACATAAGGAGGACGAGCATGAGGTTGAGAGAGGGCATCCCAAGATCATAAGGATGATTAAAGACAAGAGCATAAGGACCAATCACCTGTGTTCCAAGGGCTGGAGCCTCTGACTGAAGAAGGGAAAAGGTGAGAATTTGCCCACATTCTAATCTTAGGGGAGCCTGTTTCCTCACTTCGTTAAAGAAAAAAAAATGAAGCCATTTCAATAAAACCAGGACATTAGCTCCCAGAGTTGCTAGTGCCCACCCACCACCACGTGTAAAAATATGCAAAGGAGAATCAACCTTTATAGGCACAAGAAGCCCAGAAGCTTTCTACATGTTGTATGCACAGCTGGATTATATTCACCCATGAAATTATTCCGTTTGGGTTAAGTAACAACAGGCCCTTCTCCTTTGCTAAGCCCCAAGTGCTTGCCAGACATTAAGTCCCCAATTAATTCAAAACATGGAGGAGAAAATAAACAAATGAGAGAAAGAAAGAAAGAAAGAAAGAAAGAAAGAAAGAAAGAAAGAAAGAAAGAAGAGCAGGAAGAGAGACAGAGAGAGAGAGAGAGACAGACAGACAGACAGACAGACAGAGAGAGACAGACAGAAAGAGAGAGAGAGAGAGAGGGAGAGAGAGAGAGGATCACAAATGACTAGATCAGGCTCATGGAGAAAGGGACAATGGACCAATGGACTTCTGTAAACAATGGTGTGAAAATATCACAGGCCACCGAGCTGGATGTCAAAGAAAACAGAAGGCAGATAGATCTGCTCCCAAGTTCTATGTAATTTACAGAGAGTACCAAAGAAATGTCAGCAGGAAGAGGGTATGAAGGAAGTGGACCAGACTGCCAGCAGAGTGGTCCAGCAGAGAGTCCTGACATCCCCTACCCTCTTCTCCAGTTCAGAATGATCAAGTTCAAGACTTGAGACTCCATGGACTCAGGTGTGTGGATCCTCTTAAACAATTTTTAGGCATAAAGAACAAGTGGGTGATGATGGCTCTAAAGGCACTGCTTGCATCCCTCTAAGAAAGTCCATCCTTCAAAGCAAGTTTTATGAGTGAAGAAAAAGAGAGGCTTTGCCCAGGTTGGCTAAAGGAACCTGATGAGTTAATGGTCTATCCACGAAGCCCACATGCCTATGTCTTGAACAGATGCTTCTTGAGACAGTCAGGCCTCCTTGGTGCAAAAGCTTACACCATCAGCTCCTCATCTGGAAAGCCAGTCCTTCCAACATTTCCTTTGATAGGCTCTTCTCACCTTAACATGTTCCTTGGTTCTTCAAGATCTAGTTAGAACTAACAGTCCACATCACACAGAACTGGGGTCTCGCTTCTAGCTATTGCAGGTCCGGTGTCTGACACTCACTACCACGCCTGTGGGGCACACCTACTACACGCATAGGAAACAGATACTGATGGAGTGGAAGGGCTATTAGCAATGTCCTCTAAGTAGTGAGTGTTCTGATGGCACAGGGTCTTTATAAGCCTGTCTTTGTCGACTTCAAAATTACCACACTGGCTTGTAGCCCCCTTCAGAATTCATTACACAAAACACACACATTCAGCAGGTCACAGACTAGCCCCATCCCCTGGCCTTTGAACATTTCACGATAGGAGTAATGGCTTCTTGTTTGCCGAGGAGAGCGTGGGGGCACCACAACATTCTCTCTTTGTTCTCTTTGCCTTAACCCTCACCTGGACAGCAGGCAGCAGAACAAGCTCCCTGCCGATGCAGATGGAGACACTCTATCAAAGCAGCCACACACACACACACACACACACCTCTGCATGGGTTGAGCCACACTCACCTCTCTTCATCCTTGAAGATAAATTTCCGTAGCTTGAGGTCACGCAGCACCAGCCCTCCATCGTGGCAGTGGGCCACGGCAGAGGCAATCTGGTAGAACAGTCGGGCTGCCTCCTCCTCCCTCAGCTTCTTGCAAGTGCGGACAAAGGAATGCATGTCTCCATAGCTCCGCTCAAAGAACACATAGGCTTTGGTCTCCCCCAGGAGGATTTCTGTGATTTGGTTGATGTTGCTGTGGGCAGACAGGCAGAAACAGGGGGCCAGGGACTCCTGGTAGCAGCTGATCTCAAACACCTAGGACAGAATTGACAAGATCCCAGTCAGCGGTGCCTCCTACGACCCAAACCGCAGAATGCTGAAACCTCCCACAGGCTTGTGCTTTGACATGGCATAAAGGGTATGAAACTCAGACCCCAAGCACACCAGTTCTGCCTGCTACCCGCTGTATAGTGCACAACTAATCTCTTGACCGCCCGGAACCCCCAACTCTTTGGCACAAAATAGGTAAATGAAAATGGATTCAATATTGAGGGGATTTTAGGGGGAAAATGAAGTAAATAAACAAACGCTAAGTTTTATTATTCAGTGTGTGTTTGTGTGTGTGTGTGTGTATGCCTGTGTGTCTATGTGTCTGTGTATGTGTGTATGTGCCTACATGTCTATGTGTGTCTGTATGTCTGTTTGTGTGTGTATGCCTGTGTGTCTATGTGTCTGTGTATGTGCCTACATGTCTATGTGTCTGTATGTCTCTGTGTGTGTGTGTATGCCTGTGTGTCTATGTGTCTGTATGTGCCTGTGTGTCTATGTCTGTCCGTGTGTCTGTGTGTGTATGTGCCTTTGTGTCTATGTGTGTCTATGTGTCTCTGTGTGTGTGTATGCCTGTGTGTCTATGTGTCTATGTCTGTGTGTCTATGTGTGCCTGTGTGTCTCTCTGTGTGTGTATGTACCTGTGTATCTGTGTGTGTCTATGTGAGTCTGTGTCTCTCTCTGTGTGTATGTGTTTGTGTGTGTGTATGTGCCTGTGTGTCTGTGTGTGTGTGTGTGTGTGTGTCTGTGTATGGAGGTCAGAGGTCAACCTCAGGTATGCCTCCTCAAGAAATATCATATAGGCTCTCTCACTGGCCTTGGACCTAGAGAGCCCTGGGATCCTCCTGTCCCTGTATTATCAGAGTATGCAACACCACATTTGGCTTTTTAGATGTGAGTGCCAAGGATCAAACTCAGATCTCATGCTTGGATGATTAGCACTTGACTGACTGAACTAGTACCTAAGCCCAAAGGGTTTTATTACTCTCTCCAGCAGAGAACATATTTACAGGGGAAAGAAATGACTACAAAAAATACTTAGAGAAAAAAAAATTAAATGACCACTGGGCAAAACCAAATATCTATTCACGTTTTATAAATGCACCCAAAATGTACACGAATGAACAATTAATTCATCATACATCTAGACTTTCCTTACTAGTTCTCCACGTGCGATGAATTCATTTTACAGATGGGCAAACCGAGGCAAAGAAAACAAGCTTAAATCTTGCCCCCAGTGGCAGCATTAGGAACAGCACATGGGCCTTCTCCATAGGGGATGGGACTGGCTTCCCTCCACAGATACCTAACCCAATGAATCAATCATGCAATGATTTTTCTATGAATCAGAGTTAGCCTGTGAAATGCCACCTCGCTGTTCCTTAAAAAGAAAAATGCACCGTCAATGCCTTCTGAACAGATCGACCTAAGAGAAATAAACACAACAGAAAAATGTTGAGGGTGGAAAGGGGAGCTTTCCGTTCATTTCAAAGCCTATACTAACTCAGCTAGACCAGCACTTAGGATTAGAATGGAGTTTCCCTTGCTCTGGGTGGGGCGGGGGGATGTGGGTAAGGGGAGTCTTACTTGGAAGTGGTATGGGGTGTGTGAGGGGGTGCTTCCTTTAAAAGCAGGTCTAGCTGAAACTCTAGCTTGTCTTCTGTGACAGCAGTGAGCGCCTGTCAGTTGGTCCCAGGTGAAACCCCATCCCCAGTATTTGGAGAGAGGTAGGAGAGATACCAGAGAAACCCCGTCTAGGGGATCATCATTACGCTGGCTGGGTTCATCCAAATAGATGGATAAAGCACACAGACAAAGAACCTCCCTCTTTGTAAGAGTCACCCTGACCTAGACACCACAACCTTCCCTGGGTCCTGCTCTCACCCAAGAAGCTCTGCCTCAATTCTCCTCATTGACAAGGCTCAGTCTCAAATGCACACACTATCTTAGAACCCCACTGAGGGATTCCTGGGCTTTCTGTGGCCCATGCAGGAACACAGGCTGCAATGTAAAAATCCAGGAGTTAAGTAACTGAGCATAGGAAGAAAGAAAGAAAGAAAGAAAGAAAGGAAGGAAGGAAGGAAGGAAGGAAGGAAGGAAGGAAGGAAGGAAGAAAGAAAGAAAGAAAGAAAGAAAGAAAGAAAGAAAGAAAGAAAGAAAGAAA